TGGTACAGGACCTTCTGAGAGTGGGGTCATCTGTATGTCGCCATTGTGACCAGAAAAAATAACTTAGAAAATGACCAATGCCAAGAGAAGACTCTGTTCTCCCCAGCTGGGATTCACTATCCGTCTGCCTTTAAGTCCTATGAACGCCCAGAGCATACAGAAGGGGGCCGCGAGGGGGTGGAAGAGGTAAGCCCACAGCGACCTGTGACTTCTTTTCACTGTCCCTAGCTTTATATCCCGTGAGCTAGTATCAGTAAGGAAAAGCAATATTGATGAGCACCTGCTATGTGCTTGGAGTGGGGTCTTCCCATACTTCACATATTCATCTCATTTGTTCCTCCGAAGAGCCCTTTGAGATGGGTATTTTTATCCCATTTACAGGGGAGAAAATGGGTGCTCAGACTATGTACTTCCACAGAAGTGAGAAAGTGCAAACCATGGAACGTGAGCCAAGTTGATCTGAATCCCAGCGCTGGGATGAATTCTCTTGGCATAAGCACAACTGGCTAAACACAGCCAATCACATGAAAACTCCTGAGTCCCCAGGAACTCCAATGCAAGCCTTCCTACATACTCTCCGTGCCCAGACAAGTCTGGGTTTCCTCTCTCCTGATCCAGGCTCCAACAGATCTCCTCAAAACTTAACTTTCTACACTGCCTTCCAAGATTCGCAGTCCAGGAAAAAAATCCCCTAATACCTTCCCTCTCCCTTTGCAGAGGGCTTTCTCTTGTCCAAGGGGACACTGTTCCCAGGGCAACAGCAATGGCCTCAGTCCTCCATACCCCACATACGTCACAGTTGGGAGGAAAGTTGGGGTCTTTCTCCTACTGTTCTGTTGCTTCCAGACCACTGCCCTTGCGTGGAACCCACTGCTGTGCATTTCGGCCCATCAGGCCCAACCGGCCCCAGTCTCTACTCTCTGCCCTCACAGACTGCCCCGCCCCCCATTCTCCTGTGGCCCTGGAGAGCTTGGCCTCGCCATGTTCCTTTTCTTAGACTGCCTACCATCCTTGGGAGCTCCAGGATCCACAAAGACCGATCCAAAGGCCTGACTTTTAGGTTCCTCTTTTGTTACCAATAATCTTGTCCACTAACGAAATCCTCCACTCCTGAGATCACACCCTCCCGCCTGTCATTAGCCTTGTTGCCCACCCCCCTGAAGCGTGATGCGGGCCACAGTCCCTTTCTCTGTCGCTGCTAATAGGCAGGCCACCTCAACCCCAGCGGGGTTCTCTGTGCTGGGACCTAGTTTCCCTCAACCCACCAGCTTAAAGTGCCTCCACTTTAATCCCTTCCCGACTCGGCCACTTCAGCCATCTCCCGGATGTCGGTAGGCCACATTCTGCATGATCCATCGTTGCACATGCCCGAAAACCCTCAATCCTGAATGAATCCATCTGTTGTGGTCTCCAAGCCTCCATTTTGGGAGCTGACAGAAACTACACAGAAAGGTGGCCCTATGACTTTGTACTGAGAGCTAATCTTCAGTAGCGGCCAAGTGCTGACTTCATGCGCAACGCATGGATTATTTCATCTTCAGAAGCGCTCCATGCACCAGATGCTAATATTATCCACCTCTTCAAGGAACAGAAATGGGGTCTTTGAGATGGGAACACAGGCCTACTGTCGCACAACTGAGGGGATGAGAGAGGCTCCACACAGGCTGCCTCGCAATCCACAGGCCATACTCTGGGCTACTAAGCCACACACTTGGTCTCATCAGTGAACTGGGCCCTCGGGGCTGCCCATAACCATCTGGGCTATAATTTTCCACAGTGCAATTTTAAACTGCCTCACTTCTCCCAGACCACTGACTTCCCTACCTTTCCTCTCACCCTCAACAGATGACTGTGCCTCCTAATTACAGAGAAAATAGAAGCCATCAGACCATTTCTCCTGCTCTCCCGCCCCAAACACACAAACTTACCTGTATCACTCTCTTTCATGGCTGCCTTCCTGCCTGTTCCAAATGTGATATTTTCAAAGACAGAAAAAAGGCACAACTCTAACATAACAGACATGTTCTTTCCAAGGGGAGAAAGAAACCATTTTATTTCGGGGAATGTTAAAACAAAGCCATATACAATTTGTAACAAATACAATTGTTTGTTCCCTAGTCCTGAATAATTACAGTATATACAAATTCAATAAGGCACTGGTTCCCGAAAAGAACACAAATGAATCTTCTTTTGAAACAGACAACAAAACCCCTTATATATTGCCAACTTTTCTCCCAAAAATATGGCATTGTGTTTTGTTTTGTTTTACAAGAAGAATCATAATTGCTAAATTAAATCACTTCTGATGCCACGTCTTTCATTCCCACTGCTGTGTGACTGGGTTTTCTAAGGAGATATAACTACAGAACTATTCAAGTTTTAAAAATTCGGCTTCTTTCAGTGCCTTTCTGCTCACAAAGAAGAACCAACAACGTAAACCATCGTAACTTCTAATGAGTATGCATGACTCTTAGGAACATGAAATTCTGTCATTATTCAGTATTTCCTATACCTGACTCTACAACAATTGAAATGTGTCAAAGGATTCTCTGTACATAAAATCGTGGCATGTTTTCTGAGAAGCTTTATGTTTAAAGAATAAAAAGAATGATCATGAGTGACTTTGGGAGTGGTGCTTTCCGGCAAAGGCCTGTCTCCTCCTACACAATGTTCACAGCACTGTCCCTTGTGACTTAACCAACTACACGCTTTCATAAATAAATATTATGTTTCATTTAGTACTTTATCATCCATAATATTTTACTCTCTAATCCACATAATGGAGTTGTGCCAGACTCCAAACTGAGCATAATATTTATATATACATATATATTTATATAATATATACACACATACATAAACTCTAAACCTGAACATCTTAGCATACCAAACTTATATTAGCTAACAACTAATATTTTAAGATTCCCCCTGAAGGGGAGGGAGTGATTAGGAGAAAAATCTTAGTCTTTGAAAGAGTCCTGAAAGGAGGCAATCAACTATATTAATTTCCAGGTTCCCCCTTATTCTATTGAAAGACAAAACAAAAAAAATAAAATAAAATTCACTTCTGAGCTACTAAAAATTTAAAAACCAAAAAGGATTATTTGGAAGTGGGTAGGTAGTCTCTTTAAGAACAATTTAGTATTCCCTAAGTAAGGCAGGTTTTGGTAAGACACAAAGAAAACTCTACTCATAAATAAATTCCTATCTCATTGAAAGACTCTAATAACTAAATGGATCTTTTTAAATATCTCAAGAATAATTTTTAAATGTTCATAGTGAGTAAATCAGGTTGAGAATTAGAAAGTAAGCTCTAGATTTTTCCAAAACAACTAAACGAATAATATAGAAGAAATCTGGATGTTTTAATTTCTTCCCATCCTTCACTGGAACCAACACCTCACTAAAAATCTAGTTTACTTTCAAATCATTGCCTCCCCACAAAATATTTTGATTTGAAGTTATCTATGTATAAAAATTTGCCAAAAAGAACACAAATTTTTATCTAAGAGGTAAGCAAACCCAACCTCGTTTAAATTGAGGGAAAACCAAGAAACACAAACGTGTCCCCACTTAACGGGCATCCGTGTTTACTCATTTGTTTGTAGATTATCAAATTAGAGGCACTGAAGCTTCTCTCCACGGCTCAGATGATTATCACACGTAGTTCTAGGTACATATTCCTTCTAGGCTATAACAAAGAATACAATTTGACACAAGGGAAAGGAACATTTGTCTACATTGCTATTCAGGTGATTTTAATATCACTACAAGCAGCATTCTGATTACAATTATATTTAGAAACAACTGTGATCTTTGAAACACAGAAATTTTGTTCCTTTTCAAGGGTTAAGAAAATCTTTGCTACAAACAAAATGCAAGTATGAAGCACTGGGAAGTGAATGCTTAAGAGTGGAGAACACCAGTTCTCCTTCTGTTCTCCCAAACTTACGCAGGGTTCACAACCACTCTGTGCTCTGAGAGGTTTTCAGGATGAACAAGTCACCAGCAGTAAGCCTCCTTCAGAAGTGAGGAGAATATTTTTTTCATTTTTCTTGCAGCTGTCAATTTTTCAAAAACCCTCCATCCTTCAGGCACCAAGTGGTGAAAAATGTGTTATAAAACAGCGCCCCCTGGAGTATTCTGGAAGGAATGTCGTTTTTAAAAAGACCAAGGAGAGGTACTTCCCAATTCTTTACTGAACACTGCAGAATTTTCGAGGAAACAAAAGAAAACCAAAGAAAAGTAAGGAAATTAAATGAACACAGTTGAGAGCGGTGCGCACAATTCTGAGCTTTATGTTCCTGTTGCTAAGGAATATTGGTCCTGTCAATGATTTGACTCACGTTCCTCGGAAGTTTAAAACCTCACAGAATTGAGTAGGTGAGGTGATGTTTTGCACAAGTGCCACAGAGAAGAAAAAAATATATAAATAAATTAAAAAGTGAACTGCGCATCACGAGAATAAAGTAAACTGGGTCAGCACTCCTCTAAGATGTGAACTTATCATGTAAGGTGTACATGCTCGATCTATATCTATTTTAGAATAATAAGTCACAGCCGCTACAATATTCTGTGGCGTCCACTAGCTCTTTCTGCTGTCCCAACTGGAGGTTCTATTTCTATTTTTAAATTAAAATTAGTTAAATTAACCTGACATACTTTCCTCTCCTTCCCTTCACTCAGATACAAAAGAGACAATTACAGAAAGAAACCGTCTTTATACAAAATAAGGTATGCGTCCTTCTCCCTTGTGCCTCGGAGATGGGCTCTTCTGCACAGGTAAGAAACAGACCCTTTTGCACCCCCACCCTCCTCCTCTATCCAACTGACACACTTTTCTTACAACACAGGCACAGATTATCTCTATTTTAAAGAGCGCTGTTTTCAACACAACTAATGGCAATTTTATTTCATGTTGATCCTTTCATTTGAGAGATCAAAACCAGGCATGGGTCAATTCTCTGCACATAAAAAAAAAAACAAAAACAAAAACAAAAACAAAAAACCTTTGTCTGTGTTTAATGAAAAGGAAAGGATTTTACCATGACAGAAATGCCTTAAAAGAATCAGAAACACAAAGTGGTTCTGAAGAATGACATCGACACTCACTACTTCTAATGGAGTCACAGAAAACCTTCATTTGTTCCATATCGTCTGAAGCTACAAAAGGGCACCCGCAGGAATCCCAAAACTTGGCCCCAGACAGGTGGTATTTGTGCCCAGGTGCGTTCACATTGCTGTGGCGGCCCCGAAAGGCAGGGCTGGCCAAAGTGGTCTGAGGAGGCAGAAGCGGGGAGATTTTCAGATGAGTTCCATTCTATGTTTTCCAACTCCACAGACTGTCTTTTGGTATGCAGAGGGCAACAAAATTTCACTAATGGAAAAAGATATTTTAAAATTTACCTTCCAGCAGAATTTCCGGGAAGAACTTTCGTTGTTGTTATTTAACCTGTAACAGTATAAACCTTAAAACATCTACATTATTTGTTCTATTTTGGCAAAATTAAAGCATCTTTTGGAAAAAGAAAAAAAGGCAATCCCAAAATACAGGGCTTTCTTAGAAAGCAACATGCATCATATATCTTGAACAGTTACCCAAGCGGTTTCTCCCTCCTACAAACAGACACGATGAGAACATGTTTCTGGGAACTTCTCTTTGTCCAGGCTGCTCCCTGAGAGGTGAGGCTGAACCCACTGGGAAGCAGGATGATGTTCAAGGCTCGTACTGTGGATGCTTCTGGAACATCTTTTGCTCTGCCCACAAACAGAAGAATAGCTACTGGCTTTCTCCAGAGATGCTTATTTCTTCCCCTCACATCAGAGTTTAATGTCCTGGGACTCTGACATTTTGGCTAGTGTTTTCTTAACACGCAGGGCTGTCAGTCTTGACGCAGGATTGTGAGCCCAGCATTCCATCATGAGTTTTCCCATCTGCCTTAGACACTGTAGGGAGGGAAAGGAAGACAGGAGTAACACTAGAGAAATGTATTATCTACAAGGTTGCCATTCGATATGTGGCCTTTAGTGTACAGCTTCCAAAGTTCGGATATATTTTTCAAAGATACTCCTAAAACCATGTAGACAAAACTCCATAAAAATTCTTTTGTCATGCAAATTCTAAACGACTAAAACAGATTTTCGTGTCTTCCCTATGACAGCAGCGAGCAGGTGGTTTTGCTGATTGTAAAAGAGTGTCTTTGAAGTCAGTCTTAACCAAATACAAAAATACCCAGGGAGTCTGTATTCCACTCCACACTCCTACATTGTTTATAACACTTGATAAGCTTAAATCTTTTATCTAAGTCCATACTATTCAAACAAACATGGTCATTCCTAAATCACAGCCGTCTGCTACAATAATAGCATTGCACTGTACCATTTAACAAGATTAATGACCTGTGCACAGCCTCGCTAAAATTTTCTCCTGTGTTCTCCTGTGCTACATCAATTATTGGTCTTCCTGTGGAAAAGCACAATTTCACTTCATTAGAAATCCTCAGTGAAGGGATTCTGAGTAATACCAATGCCCATAACCACCCTCAAAATAATGTAACTCCAGCATCTCATAAAGTTTTCTGCATAGCTCACTGGAAAACATATGCATTATTTAGCATTTCAGTAACGAGACACAAAACCAATGAACCAAAGGTTGTTTTTAAATGCATTCAACATTAAAGAATTAGCTTATCAACAGTGCTCTTTCCATGTGTTTGCATTGGCTTTGGTATATGTTTGATGAGGTGGGTTTTGGGGGGGTTGTGTTTTATCCCGGGGATGCTTCAAACTCATCTCTGAATGTCCCCACCTGCCAGAGGGCTCCGGAAGTTGGTGAGTTTGCAAGCTTGGAGGATGGATGGGCAGGATGTGGAGGACGACAGGAGACAGGAAAGGCAAGGCCCCCCCCAACTCATCTCCTCCTTCTGAACAGCCCTTTTTCGGCCCTGTTTAGGTTTCATCACTGCCTCCTGAGAGCCAGGCTGAATATGGATTTCTCCAAAGCGCATCACATCATCCCTATTAACAAAGATCCACGGCGCAGTCAGGCAGCTCAACTACAGGCTCGTATCCCTTCTGTGTAAAGAAAACTAGATTCTGCAGATGCCTATCTTTTCTCTCATCAAGATGAGAGAATGGTGTACCCTGGTCTGTCATGGAGAAAATTCAAGGTGCTTTAAAGACACGCACAGAGAAATAACATCCTTTATGCAAATGTCAGGACATCACAAATAAATGGAGTAGTGTTACCTATTGTACAGGCTAAGTGGTAACCCACCCAATATACTTTAGAAGTAGCAAACTCAAATTGGTAAAAAGAAACAGATAATTTAACATACGACACTTGGCTCCATATCAATGACTGTGGCGAAGCACCACCACCAGCATCATCAAAACAAAGAAGGAGGATTCCTGTAACGAGTATCCGGGATTTGGGCAAAAAGAGTAAAGTCTGTTTAGAAATTGGTCATAGCCACATGGTTACCTCAAGCCTTACCTCATCACTACTCCACCGGTTGGGGAATGAGGGACGGAGCTTTTTGATGCAAACAATCTCTCGCATGTCCTCGTAAGAAGGGTCACTGGGCACTAGATCATGATACGGAAGCTGGTATTCTTCCACTATACCTAAAAATATGGGTTGTTTTTAAATTATTATTACTATTAATATCTTATGGGAGGTGGAAATAAAAGTCTAACATACAAACTGTTCTCAAAGCTAAGTTCTATCAAGTACTCAAGCCAAGTTCAGGCTAAAAAAACTGCAAAATAAGTCTTGAAAAAAAAAAGTGTCCAAATGACACCTAATCGAATTAAAAACATAAATAGAAAACCTAACGAAACATATTATTACAGGGTTTCAAGACTTTTTTTCTAATTTCCCAAAGCTAAGTAAAACAAGCATCTCAAATTTATTTCCAATTTTATAAAGGGTCTTGTATGCCAAATTTTAAAAAGTCTACATTAAATCTCAACGCAAATTTGGCAGACACATCCCAAACTCATACCGCATAATATGTGACTGTTTCTATTACTGCAATATGAGATTATGAATCTCATAATAAATTTGGCAGTGTATCCTACTTGAACAAAATGTGAGATTTACATTTTCTTTCTGCTTAATCATAAGAATGCATTTTTCCACGTTTAAATTTTTAAAAATTATACACACCTAAAAATATTAACCATGATTTTTTTAGGTGCAAGAACTGTCTGATTTTGTTTTTTTCTTTAAATTTTCTGTATTTCACAAAACTTTCCACAAAAAAATTCATTATCAGAAAAAAATTGGTACTATTGAAAGAAGGGTTAAGAAATATGTCTATGTCATCTTCGGAAAATGGCCCTTTATCATGACAAATTCCATCTCATTTCCTAATATCTACTTTCTACCTTATTCCTTTTGTCCTTTAGAAAAGTAGGCTACTTCTATCTTCTTTTCAACACTATCTGATTAACTCCTCACAATAATTATAAGCAGCCTCTGTCCTTAAAGGATGCCACTCTTGAGTGAGCAATCTATCTGGAGCACCTTTCCTCCCTTTCCTAAAATCATCTATTATAGAAATGTCATTGCTTTGTATCTGAACAAGATGATCCTACCAAGTTGGTGGATTTTATCCAACGCATCATTAAATTTGCTGGGGTTTACTCACACAAAAATCTGGAGTCTGTATTGTGCCCTTTCTTGCAAACTCAAACCCATATATAAAGGACCAGAAGGTTCAAAAGTTTCCTCAGACCATTCCCACTCACCATTTATTCTGTCCCTCACCGAGCCCACACAGCATAATTATATGTATCTATGTGAATAGTTCCTTCCACTGTGTTTCAATTCTATAGGAAATACTAAAAGCACAGGGCCTAACGCAGGGGGGATGCTCACTTCATTTGAGTTCTTCCTCCCTTTCTAATTATCAAGACAATGGTTCAAAGACCATGTCTATCTGATTCCTCTCATATTTTCCTCAGTGTCTAACTTTGGTACCATTACCCGCCTGGAATGATACGCCATGGTGGGCAGGTGCTTATACTACAATAGACACAGAGCCAACCACATAAAGTTATGACTATAGGCCTTACTTCTTTCTCCTTATTATGCAAGTAAGCTATCAAAACTTCCATACTGGCTGCCATTTAATTGTGTCTGAAACCTCAAAAATTCGCTTTTTCTTCCAAAGTTTAGAAGACCTACATCCAGACTCTACTTCACCCAAAAGTACCTAGACTAGAAAGACAAGCCCAAAACCTTCCAACATCTTCATAAAGGAAAGTGTTGGAGAACAGAACTTTGTGTGTTTCGCCTTTCTGGAAAGAGAAGACAAACTTGCTTGCTAGGAGCCTACTATGTACCAGGCAAGTAAGGTATACACTATGGTACATACCATACCAAGTATGGTATACACTACGGTACATATACTATACCAAGTATGGTATACACTACGGTACATATACTATACCAAGTATGGTATACACTATGGTACATATACTATACCAAGTATGGTATACACTATGGTACATATACTATACCAAGTATGGTATACACTATGGTATATATACTACACCAAATATGGTATACACTATAGTACATATACTATACCAAGTATGGTATACATTATGGTATATATACTACACCAAATATGGTATACACTATGGTACATATACTATACCAAGTATGGTATACGCTATGGTACATACTATACCAAGTATGGTATATACTATATACCGGCAAGAATGCTGTAGAATATATCTTGCTAAATTCTTAGAAACACGTTTATGAGATAGAATTATTATCCATATTATCCAGATGAGAAAACTTGGCGTTGAGCAATTCAGTAACTTGTCCAAGGCCATACAGTTGATATGGGGCAGAGCTGAGAATCTAACATCTCTGGTAAACACAGACCAATCTCATAAAGAGATAAGGCAACACCTTAGTACCTCTCAAATCTCCACAGGCAAAGACAGACCTAGTAAAGCAATTAAAATCCTGCTGTTTTTTATGAGGCTGGCTTGTTTTTAAGCGAAGGATTGTTTCTTCTGTATTCTGACCCAGAGGCTTCTAAATACAGGTTTCTTGTGGCCCTACTTGCTTTAAATGTTCAGGAAAACATAATTAGAAAGTAATCTTGTACTCTACTACTCCTTCAACTTCTATAAACCAATCCTGAGTGTAAGTATGTTATCCAAAAATAGGCTCATCTACTCTTTATAAAACACGAAGCAAGGCATAGACAATTAGTTAACTTATATTTTGCTTAGCTCTTTCCTTCTTCATAGATGACGGGAGATTTATTCACTATCTGGTTAGGAAACATTTCCCATGTTAACTTTCCTTTTGGAGGTCTCTCACTTGAGAGGAAATGTGTTCTATTTTAAATTAAGCTCAGAAGAGACTCAGAGCTCCCCGAGTGATTAGAAGGCATGGTGTCACTGCATCACGATCTGTCTCCCAAAGTATAAATGCCTGTTGATTAACTGTCTCTCCTCTGCATTTATGTGTGAATCTAAATATAAGTTAAGCCTCTACCAACCAAAAGGAAAATATTAAGTAAGAGCTAAGATATACTGAATGCTACTTATGTACCAGGCAGTTTTAATTCTCTCTAATTCACTTCCTTCTTAAGATAAAAGACCGGAACAAAGCTGAGTAAGTTGTCAGAGGTTCACAGTTAATAAATGGCAGGTCCAAGAATGAATCCCAGTACCAGTTAAGTGTTTGCTGGACTTTCAGAACCTCGGGCAAGCTCAAGGTCTCACAAAAGTGAGCTCAAACTGGCCCTGGTCAGCAGCAGCAGCGTGGTTTCTAACCAAGCACGGCCATGAGTATAACCATAAACACGATACTTGTCACTTCACGAAGAGCCTACGATTCAGCTTCTCACCTAAAAAGTGTTGGAATCTATTTAAAGACAGATGACGCAGCAGTAAACTAAATACAACAAGCAATAATAATGCCTCTGAATATTTAAAAATGCCTTCTGACATCGTCTTACTAGGGAATCCTTGTTTGCAGAAAAATTATCATGACCAGTAGGAACAGTCTTATGCTTTAATTTCCTTTTGATAAAAACTTTTGATATAAAATATGATGTTTTCAAATTGCTTTTTGAAGAACTATATAGAAAGTCAAGTGGGGGGAGGGGTAAAGAATGGGTGTCTCACCCCACATCCCTGTCTCTACCTTAATCTGTGGAGTTGGAAACCACAGGAAACGGGGCCTTGGAGCAGGCTGGTGGGAAGAAGCTGGAAGGAGGAGGTCGAACAGAATTCTAAGATGTTAAATATCATTTCCTGGGAGGATGGTGACTGCACCAGCAGAAATAAGGTGGAAAATAAAAGAAAATCTGATTTGGGGGACAATATGATAACTCTGATTTCTGATCAGAAAACAAGGACCTGTAGTACATCCAACGGTATCACTGTTACTTACCTCCCGATACACATCTCCTAGCAACCTCCCAGAGGATGAGTCCAAAACTGTACATGTCGGCCATAATGTAAGACTGAAAGTGATTTCTATTTAAGCTCTCATCCAACACTTCGGGAGGCATGTAGCGTTTGGTGCCAACTCGGGTGTTGGGTGGGATGTCAACTTCATTCGTATCACTGAGGAAAAAGTAAAGCAAAGCGCTATGAGCACTGAAAAGGACCAACACGTGACAAATCAAAGTGATTCCTGAACCAGGCTTTCAGGCAAAGGTGGGAAGGGATATCTTTTCGAGGAGTAGTATTTCCCTGAAAAATATTTCTTGCCAAGAGTTATATTAAATATCCACAGGTAAAAACCCAGTGAAGAGGGAAATCAAAGGAAAGCTGTACCATACAAGGCTGCATCGCCACTAGATCAAATATAAACTCGAAGTAATTGCTAAGTATCTATTAAATGTCTACAAAATATCTTCTTCCCTTTCCTATTTTCATAGCTTGGCTCTTAAAATTGGCATGAGTACCTGCCGAGGGGGTTTGTTTGAGACAGTGTTTTTTAAACCAAGTGTTGCAAGGTTTTTAGATGTACAAACAAGGGAAAACAGTGGGGGAGGAAAAGGGTCAACAAAGACCTAAAAATGTTTTACTTTGATAAGGAGGACCCTTAACAAAGCTTTCTATGATCACCATGATTTCATCAACCAGATAACACGTGTTTTTTTAATAAAAGGAGGAAAGGAAACAAATGATCCAATCAAGAAATGGGCAGAAGACATGAACAGACATTTTTTCCAAAGAAGACATCCAAATGGCCAACAGACACATGAAAAAGTGCTCAACATCGCTCGGCATCAGGGAAATCCAAATCAAAACCTCAATGAGATACCACCTCACACCAGTCAGAATGGCTAAAATTAACAAATCAGGAAACGACAGATGTTGGCGGGGATGCGGAGAAAGGGGAACCCTCCTACACTGTCGGTGGGAATGCAAGCTGGTGCAGCCACTCTGGAAAATAGTATGGAGGTTCCTCAAAAAGTTGAAAACAGAGGTACCCTACGATCCAGCAATTGCACTACTGGGTATTTACCGCAAAGATACAAACGTAGGGACCTGAAGGGGTACGTGCACCCCGATGTTTACAACAGCAATGTTCACAACAGCCAAACTGTGGAAAGAGCCAGGATGTCCATCGACAGATGAATGGATAAAGGAGATGTGGTATATATACACAATGGAATATTATGCAGCCATCAAAAGGAATGAAATCTTGCCATTTGCAACAACGTGGATGGAACTGGAGGGTATTATGCTGAGCGAAATAAGTTAATCAGAGAAAGACATGTATCATATGACCTCACTGATAGGAGGAATTCTTAATCTCAGGAAACAAACTGAGGGTTGCTGGAGTGGTGGGGGGTGGGAGGGATGGGGTGGCTGAGTGATAGACATTGGGGAGAGTATGCGCTATGGTGAGCCCTGTGAATTGTGTAAGAGTGTTGAATCACAGACCTGTACCTCTGAAACAAATAACATATTATATGTTAAAAAGAAGAAGAAGAAGAAGAAGAAGAAGAAGAAGAAGAAGAAGAAGAAAGCAGGAGGGTAAGAATTAAGGGGGGGAATCGGAGGGGGAGACGAACCATGAGAGACGATAGACTCTGAGAAACAAACTGAGGGTTCCAGAGGGGAGGGGGGTGGGGGGATGGGTTAGCCTGACGATGGGTATTAAAGAGGGCACGTTCTGCGTGGAGCACTGGGGGTTATACGCAAACAATGAATCATGGAACACTACATCAAAAACTAATGATGTACTGTATGGTGATTAACATAATAAAAAAATGGCTATTGTGAAAAAAAAAAAGGAGGAAAGGAATAACTGAATATAATACCAGCAGCTCCGTGAAAGTTTCAGAACGTGACCCACTGATTACCATTTCCCATAGCCTGGGAGAACATCCGTGGCATCGGGTGCACCCTGACCTGCAGGATGGCCCTTGGGAACCACTGCTCAGCGCAGTGAAGCTGGAGCCAGAGTTAGGCACGAGATGACTGAAGTGGGGAACTACTGTCACTCAGTTGGATGACGATTAAGCAAGATGAGGTGTGTAAACGTGCAGCCAGCGCAGTGTGAAGCTTGTATCAGAGATATACTGAGACAACCTCAAGAGAAATCAGTGGCACTAAGAAGAGCAAGAAACCCCAGTTTTGATGAAAAAACTATCAAACAGAAAAGGGACAAAAGTTTGGAGCGCCTGGGTGGCTCAGTCATTAAGCGTCTGCCGTCAGCTCAGGTCATGATCCCGGGGTCCTGGGATCGAGCCCCGCATCGGGCTCTGCTGCTCAGTGGGGAGCCTGCTTCTCCCTCTCCCTCTGCGATCTATCTCTCTCTGTCAAATAAATAAATACAATCTTAAAAAAAAAAGGGGGACCAAAAAGTCATTATTAACCAAAGTTTGTGGGGAATTGTGGATAAACCTTGCTATCTCCTGATTCCTGAGAAATTTTTTTTCTTTTCATCACACTCCTTGACTCTCATGCATTTACATGTTTTTTCTCCTCAACAAGGAAGTTACATATATCATATATCACATTTATCAGGCTGTGTCACAGGCAATACCAAACTTTCCTAAACACTAGTGGCTTTTGGAAAGAATCTCTGGGTTTGATCTTTTTGCCTCAATTTCTAGTTTCTGAAGCATAAAATGTGTAGTGTCACTAGGGAAAATTTAAAGGATGGCAGATGTCTCTCTGCAGATCTCCAAACTGTTAACATTTACTAAAATGTAGAAAGTTTCATTCTTAGAACCATCTTAAATTCATTTCCAGCTAAAATCCTCAATCTAAAGCCGTTGCAACAGACGGGCCACCAGTCTTCTTATTAGGCCCCTCAGGATCTTCCAGGAGCAACTACTCTGAAGAAGCCCGTTTGGTTTTTTTTGTTGGTTTGTTTGTTTTTAAATAAAACTTAAAGTGTAAATTTTTAAAAATGAAAATAAATAAGCCTTAATCTATAAATGTAGGTCCTAATGTTCTGGGCTCTAAGAGGCTCATTTTCTAGAAAAAAAAAATGTGAAATCCTAGTATTTACCAGTACAATATAACAGAAAAATGTCATTTGCATACCTAAATAGTAAATGATAAGGGAAGAAAGTGAGCCGAGAAGCAGCTTAATGATAAAATGGAAAATATCAGATTTAAAAGATGCCACAAAAATTCCACCTTTAATTATACTGCCATCTCTTCTGTAAGCACATGGTAGGCATTTCATTCATGTGTTATAATTTATGACTTTGAATCATTAGAGGAAGACAGCAGTGGGCCTAGGCAGAGAATTCTGAGTTCCATGCCAAGAAACAAACATGGGGTATCTTGCAGATGGAAAGAAACGGGTATAGGGCCTATATTATATTCCAGAACATGGACTGGGAAAGGAAACCATGAATAGTCTTAGCATGGGCCCCATAAGAGTATATTTAGGCCAAAGATATACTCTGACCACACTTGATAAAGATTTTAGGTGATTCCTTCCCATTCTTATTCTTAGCTCCTTTTGCTTTATTTGGATTTGGAAGGTCAGGAAGGGCTAACAGAATGTGTGACATGGAAACATCTATTGGAAACTGAAAGGTAATTGTTACCTGACGATACAATAAGATCTGTGACGGCCAGACTAGATAGAGTTCATCTCTAAACTTTCATGCCCTCAAACACTGAACAAACATACAATCAAGGATTTTGTTGGTCCTTCAGTTTCCCAAAAACCAGTTCCTTATACAGGCCATGAAGCCTGGCACTACTGTCCCTCTTCTTCCTCCCTCTGCCCACCCTTGGTGTTGCCCTAGTAGTATGTGAATAAACATCTGTCTTCCCACCTACAAGTGTAAACTCCTTGAGTCCTGAATATCTGCTATAATCATTTGTTACTGCCCTAAATATTATCATCCCAATCCATTTCCATTTATAATGCGTTCTGCACATAGTAGGTAAATATACTTTAAGTGAAAGAAAGAAAAGGCTTGTTTACAGTAAACTTTGCTATGAATACTTGGAAGAGAAATATAAAAATCTCTGTTGTAAATAGACCATAAAATGAGACAGTACCAATATCTAAAAGGATAAATAGAATTTTGTTAAGCAAATTTTGTAAAAGATTATTATTAACCTAATGGCAAATGCCTTCAGTACTACATTTAAATGACAAACATGCTAATCGTAAGTAATTCATATCTGATGTTATTAAGGGTCAGATCCTCCAAGACATACAGCGCCATCCCTTCTTCTCTCAGGAGTTTTTCTATACTGGAAAGTAATGAAATTGCATTTCTCTCTCAGGTTTTCAGTAACATTATCTTACCTGTTCCCAAATTAGGGCAGAGAAAAACGTAGCTTGTTCATCTTCAAGAGCAAAAAGAGAAGCCAGAGATATCGAACACTGGGGCACCAAGAATAAATGAAGAAAAAGAGGCTGTAAGTAGAATCCGATGGTGCAGAGCACATAAGACGGTATAAAGCAACCGAAGGAAAGGGTCAAGGAGGAAGAAGGAAGCAGGAAAGGTCAGGGCGCCTTCAGCTTTTCCTTGTTTCCTTTTCCATGAAGGGGCCAGAGGGGTGAGACACGAGGTGCGTAAGAAAAGGCGGATAGTGCACAAGGAGGGCAGAGTCAGAGAAATGAACTCAAGATGCACCAAATAACCCTTGGTGCTGCAGGGGCTACACACACATGTGGTCAAATCATAAAGTCCCACAGCGCAAAGATGAACATCAGCTTCAGGATACTGGCTACTTCTGGGAGGGAAAAGGGGAATAAAACAAGGAGAACGCAAAGGGTTATCTTCAACACTGTATTTCTTCAAAAAAAAAAAAAAAGAGCAGATAAAAATAAGGCAAATTGTTAACTTTGCTCACATTACAACTGTTACACCCGTGCCTTATTATGTGTTGTATTTTTATGTATATATATTTTAATTAAACCCTACTACAAAGAAGAACTCAGCAGGATCAGGAACAAGAAGAATGTACATTTCAAGGTTAAGGGATAGGTTAGCGGCCTAAGCTTTGAAGAACAAAAGACATCTAAAGAAAGTGGAGAGAAGTACAGAGAAGATGGGGGTTCTACTAAGGAGAAGTGAAAACATTCCATCAAAAATACAGGTGCCGTATTCAGCACAGAGGAAACA